CTATTTTAAATGAAAGTTTTATGATACAGTTTAGAAACTTTCATTTTTGTCACTAATACCATTCAGGTTTTAGATAAAGAACTAAGACTTACAGCATGTTTTTCAACTCATGGTGTATAGAAACTCAACCAACAAGATCCAACCATAAAGGCTATTTGCAAATCAAGCAGGTTTGTGATATTAATTTCCCTCTTCTAATTTTCAAAACAACACCACATTTAACTTTATATAGAAGTTAAGCAAACAATAACAAAAGATGATACTTTGTTTTGGTTTACGCATATAATTAATTCGTAATTAGAACACAAATTTAATAATTATCGTTGGCTGACAGTAGTGTTATTGAAAATTAAACTAAACAATTATTGTTTGTGATTTTTTTAATTATTTATGTAGTTTTCATTTAGAAAGTAGACTTTAAAACAAAAATTACTTACCAAACTATGTTGATAACGATGTTTTCCATGGAAATTACTGCGAATGTTTACTTCCACTTTACTGTAAGTAGTGTTCAAACTCGAGATTCATTATATTTAGCGGCTTTAGCTAAAAGTTCCATTCAACTTGAGTAATAGAACTAAAAATTATATGAAAAACAATAGACGAAACACAATAATTCGGTAAATAAATTAAAAATCCTGACACACGGCCGATCGGCGCACTTAACAATTTATTTTGTATTACTACAGAGTACAGACTAAATAATCGAGAACTCCGTGCTCCTCAGACAGCTGTCACAGATAAAACGATTCAATAAAGGTTTTAAGCGCCAAGCATGAGCGAGATAAGTAAACGCGTATTGTAATAAGTTAGACAGAGAGAGAACTATAGATGTTATACCATCTCGAAGAATTGGAGCCGCGCGAAGTTAGCGCCATTTTGGTTTCGGTATTGCAACTCAAAAATACAAAATTAAAAAATAATAAATATTTCACTTAGATAAACGTAAACTTTAATAAAGCACAGAGAAGTTTTAATTAAATACTGCTATACTCATATCACATTAGTTAAAAATATTTATAAGTCTCTCGTTGGCCGGGACGCATTGCTGATAAGCACTCGAAACGTCTACTTATGTAAATAATGTAATAAAATCGCACTGTTATTTGTTAAAATGGTTTTATTTTAACGTTTATAGAAATCGATATAGCACAATATATTATATTTGAACGAGGTGAAGTTTCATTGTCATAATTCACTTCAATTGGATCGTCAGTTTGTTTTATTGCACCAATGTGTTTGTATGCCAACACGTGTCCTTTTTCAAATTCTTCTGACACGCTTCTGAAAAGAACGACAAAAGTTCAAAAAAAATGATCGGTTTACAATTGTTTAACTGCGCCATTGACATGAAACCACTACTATGTAACGAAGGAAAACATCTTGAGGAAACTTCCATACCCCCTCAACTTGTATGCCACGCAGTGTATAGCTGAAAAATAAGGAACACTATTGTATACTCTGTATATAGTCTTAAAATACAACTCTCAGGTATTTTTAGGGCTGTTTCTCACAACATATCTATGCATTATCTCTAAGTACGCTACTACTACATATTGTGACAATTGACGCATTCTCAATCACTGGATTTTCATTTGATGTGCATAACTGTGCCATAGCAGCAGATAGATTTGCAAATATCTATCTGGGGGGCCTCATAGACAAGCGGTCTTATTAAGTGGCAGCTAGGTGAGGGGTACCGGGTGCGATTCTCGGTTCGAGGGCAAGTTTAAATTTAATTTAAATTTGTTCTCGGCCTTTGGGAGGGTTGTGCGGTACCGGGCGAGTGTCTAAACCGTACATAGAGGACACTGTCGAATTTCTAAAAGACAAGCACGAATTATAAAAAATCCTATACTTGACGCTGGCTAATGCACAAATCGTGCCAGAGCCATAAAAAAAACAAATATCTATCTGCTTCATCAGTTAAATAGCAATTTCATCAATCATAGATAAATAAACTCTGCGAAAGTAGATCAAAATCTAATTAAGGTATTTTTAAGCATAAATGAAAATTGACACCCCTAAACTATTTGTAACGTTTTGTGACTTACAACTTACCACATTACAAAGTATTTACAAACCTGTCTCCACTTAACGGCTATTACAATATTTTAAATTATTTAACGAAAATATTATGAAAATACACAATATAGTTTTTGCCGCGCACCACCAGCCGCGCAGAATTAGCTGCCCACTGAGGTATTTCCGATCCAATTCGACTTAGGGTCCTAGGGAAAAGAGTGTATTATTGACTAAGTCTGAAAACACTGTAAAAGGTAGAAAAACTGATTAAAAATCCTATATTGCAAATAAAATATTATTATAAAAAGCATAAGAAAATCATACAAGTTATTTTAACAGTAGAAGTTAGAATAATTCCACAATAAAGATTATGAATATATAAAATACTATTTTTACGGCTGACGCTATAATAAGCCTTTGTTTCATTCAATTTCATCAATTTATATAACGAAAAGAAACCGATATTATTAAACAACACTAAACTATTCTCGGTCTCAATAATAGTTATTTGTATTGTTTTTAAGTACCACCAATGTTAATTTAATAACTAAATGATTTAATTTTATATAATAAATATTCACAAATATAACAATGCACTCGCGGCTCGAGTTAGATGTTTCACGCAGTTCGTATAACTGAGTCATGCAGGCTCACCGCGTATTTTCAATAATTAACTAATTTCAGGAAATTTCAAGAGAAATAAAGTTATTATTTCGTTAGGAAATTCTGCCGAAATAAACTATGCAGCCATCTAATTTCTTATGCTTTGACTACAAAATACCACACAGTTTCTAATGGATTAGAAATGTCACCCCAAACACTGAAGCTAGCACATTGAAACCCTAGCCAATGAAGCATTTATCGAGGACATAAAAGTTAGCTACGCCCAAGAAAACGATGAAGACGAATCTGTTCTAGTCATAAAGCTGTTCTACTTATAAATCTTCTTTTTAGAAGATGATATAAGTAGAACAGCCGACCCTATGTGGCTACGTTAAGCTATACACCGAGAAGAGTTGAAGCTCTTAGAAGTGGCCCATGTCCAAGGACAAGCTGTAAAACAGAAATTAACCGGCTTGCCGTTTAATTATTAGTGTTTATAGTATTTCATATTTGTATGTACTAGGATATAATTTGAAATATTAAGTATTATCTGTCGTTTATATTATATTAAATTTTAGTATTTTTTGTCTATTTATGTGTATTATTTTCTGTTTCATATATATGGTTTATCTATTTAATCTGTTTTGGATTTGCTTATTGTCTAAGTGTTTTGTTTTATAATATGTATGTTATGTGTATGATAAAAAATTATGAAAAAATAAAGAAAAAAGGGCCCCGTAATGGTCTTGGTCTCAGATGCGCATTTATTTCATCTACATTCTTTCGCTATAGAAGAAGAAAAGTTATATAAATTTTTCCTCCTTCAGTAATAGATTTAAATTGGTGCTATCGATTAATTGCGAAACTGAAATAATTTAGCTAACGTGTCATTTCCACCATTTTATCAATTGTGAGGATAATTGTTATTGCTTCTTTTGCGTCGGATTCTAAAATTATTCAATTTATTTATTCGAGTGCTTTAAAATAGAAAATGTGTGCTTTGAAATTACAAAATAAGGTTAGGTTTGTAGTTACATCTACAATTTGCGCTTCCAAATCACTGCGATGCCGTCATACCCTAAAACGAAGTTATTCCTAAGGAAATATATCCTCGAACTTAGCCACTGGGGCCTTTGGGTCAGTCAGCGGTCAGACTGGTCGAGGACCCTCCTTTTGGATTAGAGGAACAGTACACCATCCTTCCTCCACAGGTTTCTCTCGGTGCAGGGCCGGATTTAGAGGTCTGGAGACTTCGGGGTAACAAAGGAGTGGAGGGCCCTGGCCCCAAATTATTTTCTAAATATTAGTATTTAAAAATATATCAACAGAAAAGTTGTTTACTAGTGTTTACTAGTCGGAATTTAATGTTTTTTTCCCAAATCTATGTTGTGAGCCAGCCGGACCTGTCTGAATGTTTTGCTAAAAAAATAAAGGAGTAAAGCTAATTTTACATGTATGTATAGCGTATAACATCCTTTCAAAAAAAAAAAAAAACAATTTAAATTCTTTATTAATAAAAAAAAACAATTATAAATAGATACACATTTACGCAATATCACAATTAAATTGCGGTTTTAAATAAATTCGATTGATTGTGGTCCTATTAATTGACTAGACACTACACAAGTCGATCTTGCATAAAAGCCTCTCTTTAGCCGACTATATTAAAAACTGTTTAGGTCTTGCTGTATTGGGGCAAGCTAATATAAATTAACAATTGAGCAAAGTCTAAATTCCTTCCACAGTAACTTTTTTATTCATATTTTAAAATATTATTTTTCAAACGTAAAGCAGTGTTGGCCTAGTGGCTTCAGCGAGCGTCTCTCATGGTCGTGGGTTCGAGCCCCGGCTGTGCACCAATGGATTGTCTATGTGCGTATATAACGTCATATAATTTTTATTTATTTTTCACACGTAAATGAATCCGATATGGTCTAAAATTAAAAATCTCAAATTATACTTGTAAAACTAAATTTTATCTATTCTAGGTCCAATACGTAATATAATTCTAATAAATATACCAATCGTTTATCTGGACAGGACTCAACTTAGATTTAGTTTAGTTATCGCAGTATGTAATAGTACCAGTACCAACTTCTAAGCTATTAATACTAAATTTCCTTAAAACTTTAGAATATCATACTTATCACCTATTTCAATATTTACGACAAATACATCAGTTCTATACCTAATATTGATAACTACCTAAAATTGACTTTTTTTCGTTTTTAGTTTGTCCCAAAATGTGCTTCATTCGAAGGTTAGTCTTTGGTAAAAAAAAATAATTATTTTACATAATCTGTGATGTTGGACATTGTAAGCTTGTCTACATCTGTATTAATCTGTTTTTTTCCTGTAGAGTTTTTTGTAGTCTATGTCCTTTTCTCTTTAAGTGGTAACGTCTCATCGTCATAGTCTACTTTTCCTAGTAGGACAGGTTCAGATCCCTTCTCAACATTATCGTCTTCTTTGTTATTATACGGTATATCCCGTTTTTCTAATTCTTCAGCAACGCTTCTGAATAACTCACTGAAAAAAATTAGGTCTTATTATTTATGAATATCGGCCAATTTTTATTGCGTAGGAGTATCATCTATATATTCTAATAAAATAAATTTATAGCCAAAAATGATATTGCACCAACAACAATTAAATATAAATATTTTCAAAAATGTTAAAAAGAATTCGTGAAGCGGGTGGCCATATATCTACTAAACAAACTCTTGCAGGCAACCACAGTTAAAGAAAATGAATAACTATAGGAATAACAAAATATATCCGTCTAACGGCTGTCCGCAAAATAGTCAGTAGTAGTACTAATAGATTAAGCTTTATCTTTATTTTTTCTTTAGACTGTTATAAGAATTTTAAAACAAACTTACTGGAATGTAGCAGACTTCATATTCTTCGCAAGGTAATATAGGAACAGCCAATCCCCAAACTCACAACCGTTGACAACGTTGATCACGTTATACGGATTAAACTTGCTCTTGGAGATATGCCGGAACACAATTTCGTTGAATCTCAATGATCTACGGAACATAAAGAACGACACGAACCGCCATACGACACCTATAACAAAAAATAATGTAAGGAGCTGAGTTGATAAGGTCATTGACACTAATAATGAGACAGTATAAGTATTTGCTTCCCATTCTTAATATAAGTTTTACTATATGCTTAAAAGTCTCACCCAGAAAAGACGCGATGAAAAGGAATAGGAACCAGAACCACAGAATGACGTAGATCTTCTCGTGGATGATGTTAAGAGCCATAACACACAAAGCGTCGTGCTGCTGAATGGACCCACTGGGACCATACTTGTGGAACACACATTTCGTTACCTACAAAATAAGAGGCATTATAAAGTCATCACTATCAGAATGATACATAAATAGGTTGCTTATACCATGTTCGGGCTTTGTAATCATAGTTATAAAGATTATAATTCATATAAGAAGAGATATTTCTTATGTTTTCCAAAGAGTAATTTCTTTGAAGTTCTGAAGTTACATAAACTATATTAAAACATAAATTTAACAAAAAAAAAATCAAGAATAAATGGTACCTATCAATTCCTTTAGAAAGAGATTTATCATATCTGATTATAATTATATGTGTACAAATGATTTATAAACCATGCTTGCCAAATACAAATTCACAACTGACATTGACACATGTCACAATGTTTGATTATAAGACATTCAAGTTTCCTAACGGTATCTTGAGCAAGTTTTTTGTCGCGTTGGTTCTGGCTATACTAACCTGACTGTGACATGAGCATTTAATTTAAATACTCATTTAGTGTGTTCTGAAGGGCTACCTGTAACCTACCCTTAGGGCTGAGGCATCGACATCATTAACATGAATGCGCGACTTAATGCGTTACCGACCCAACCCGTCGCTAGGCTGAGCGTTTCAAGTAGGTAGATTATATTATATAAACGTTATCAGAAATTAAACGTTACCTTTGGGAAAACTAATTCCAATGGATCTGTCATATCACCCCAATGTTTGAATTTCATTACGTTAAGCCCCAAACTTATAAAACTGCCGTGAAGGAATTTGTTGACAATCCATACTTGAATCATCACGTGCAGAAGATTTAGGACCTCCATGGATATCAGCCATCGAGACCAGGTTCTTGTAATTCTTAATCTGAAAATTATTTCCTAGTTAACTCATAATAACCCAAAATAATATAACCCCTCTTCAATATCTATATATATATGTATAGTACCTACATATTATTATTTTTACTTTATAAATTAGTTTTAATTAAAATATTGAATTATATATAGTCTAAACTATTTTTTGGACATTTCGGTACAAAATAAAAACGTGTGTGTACACGCGTTAGAAGTTATACTACTTTGGCGTATCAAGATAAAAATCTATTCAAATTTAATTTTATCTTTCGCCTTATTCTAAGTTTGCAGAAATAACGACACTAACAATAGAAAAAAATTACTCCCAACATTTTTCCCTAACGCGCCAAAAGAAGTATAACTTCCAAAAAAGTAAAATGTTGACTGTAGCTTACTTCAGGGTGTCGGTTTTTTGTAACGGTGTGCCCCACACACTGTTACAAAAAACCGATCTTAAAAATTTACTTTCATCATTTTTCCCTAACGCGCCAAAAGAAGTTTTACTTCAAGTTGAACAAAAAGTAACTATTTTAGAATCGCTTATTGTGTCATTGTTTGAACGCGAAACATTTAAATTTTGGTTCAGTCGCGAGGTCATGGTGAGAATTTTCATAAAAAATGACTGAACGAAATCTAATTATCGCCAAGGTCACGTAGAAACATAAACGGGCTGATTTTCTCGACGTTGGTTGGCAATAGTCTCGCAATAAGAACTCATGGTATAGGTAAAAAGCAACTCAGAAAATCATAAAACAAACCTCAATAAAATATCTTTCTTGATGAGATCCACTCGGCTCTCCAGAGTCTGCTTCGATGGAACGTTGATGCTACCAGCTTGCATGTCTGTATCGTGTAAAGCTAAGCTGGCATATTGAAGACCTTCAACTAAAGCTTTTATTCTGCCTCCTGAATACATAAACTTTATTATAAATAAAGTAATTAGATATTGTCATACAAGAGGTAATAATCATCTCTAACTCTCTTTTACTTTGAATTATACCCTAAGAAATATGCTGATAACTTTATCAGTAATGTATGCTATTGAAATCGAAATTACTCGTACTTCCGCAAATATATCGACTTTGTTAACGTACGCGCTAGAAACTACGAAAGTATAAGTGTTCCTAAGTCATCGAGGTGCTTTAAATAATAGAGGGTTTTGTTTTTACTCTATATTAACCACACGCGTACAACAATAGACCATGTGCGAAATAATGAAATGTTAATTGCTATGAAACGAATGAATGCAATGTAACTATTGAAGAGAGTACCTACGTCTGGCTATACTCTCGGGGCGTAACTCCGTCGATTTAGGAATTCACCTCGCTTATTAAACTATCAAAGTCTGAGTGGGTAAAATGTACAAGCTCGTACGATAAGAAATATGCACTTTTATACCTACTCGTTTAAAAAAGTACTTCAAATCATCAACGTGTGGTCTAAACTGCAGTGTATAATAAAATATAACTACTATATTTACCTTCTTTGCTCTTCCAAATATAATGCGGTATATAGAAGCAGATCGATTGAATGAACAGAACGAAGGGAACCCATTGGTAGTATGTATGACGGATAGTCTCGTCTGATTCAAGAATAGGCCCAACTCCCGGATGCGGCAAAAATCCACCTTCCAGTAAACTTTCGTTGTAATGTCTGACCTATGTATTCGAATCAAAATGAGAGATCATACTTTAGTTTAACAAGATATGAGTGTTGTCAGTCGTAAGGTGTTGACAAATGTGGCCTAGTAGTTTTAGCGTGCTACTTTCATCCCTGAGCAGTCGTAGGTTCGATTCTCGTCTGGGTACCGATGAATGAAAAACATCGTCAGGAAACTGGCATGCCTAGACAAGATCGACGGCGTGTTCCAAGTACAGAATACTGATCACCTACTTGCCTATTAGAGAAAATAAAATATCACGAAACAGAAACAATCTGAGGCTAAGACCCAAGGGTTGTAACGTAATTGGCTTTTTTTTAAATCGTAATGTGGGAGTTGATTGTTAATTATTTAATTACCTTGGAAACTTTACCAGCAATAAATTTTGCCTATTTGTATGTAATTAAAAGAACTCAAACTGATCGCAGTTTGACTGGTAAAAAAAGGGCGAATCACAAAGGCCTGGAAGGATCTTTTACTTCAAAAATAATGCTATGCTATAAAATGTTTCTATTCTAAATTGGACTGAATCGTTTCAGAATCCATTTATACATAAATAGTTGATGTGAAAGACAGAATTTTAATATCTTACAATAGTAAACGTGGCCATGAAGAAACAGTAAGTCTGTATGACATGTGGTGGTACGCCCTGGTCGGACAAACATTTGATGTGCTCTCCGAAGTACTCTCTCCCACAGACAAGAATCATGAAGCAGAGAAGCAAGACCACAGTCAACTTATAGTGAAGCTTGAAAACCATGTTGTCTATAATCGGCTTCGAATAGTTGAACCGCATGCGCGGTGTCAACGCTTTTATTGATGACATCATCATCATTTTGGCGTTTTTTTTGAATCACCGGTTTAACAATAAACATTTAATTTTAATAGTGGTGATTTCTGAAAAGAGAGAATTTAATGAAATATAAAATAAATCAATGATTAATAAACTTAAATTTGTAAATTCGTGTACTAAATGCTGCATACACTACTTTCCTTAAAAATAAATCTTCAAAATACATTCGAACATCGCTAGACACTTATGTGCACAACAAACTCTCGACAACTCAGTTTACATCTAGAAGAATTAACCAACAAAGCAATAAGAACTTCTTTACATATAAAACCTTAATATAATTTACTGAATTTTTGGGTTAACGCAATTGTGGAGAGCCTCTGATATTTTAGTACTGATCTACAATAACTGATAGCACTCTCTTAAAGAGGTGTAGTCAAAGACAATATAGAATTAAACAAAACGATTGTAATATCAGATGCTCAGACCTGGTCACGTCATACGTAAATAAGGATACATGATAAGAAAGATATTCTAAAAATTAAAATAATTAACTCACTTGAAAATCGCTGCAATTAACACTAGAAAAGACGTGCGATTCACTTAAGGTTGTGTCAGAATATGTCGTATCGGTTCTGATAAGATATGACGAGCGATGATAAACCTCAAAAATGATTATACGTTTGAAGTTTCTAAGATTGCACCTGTATGAAACAATTACAAAGAGACCTAAAAGGCCACGAACCTTTCGATTGACACCATTAAGAAATAGATAATACACAATAGTATTGCAGAAGAGCATGAGATAGCCTGTGCCGGTGAGCTGGTCGTAAACGTAACGTAACTAGAATTAATTACAAAGTAAATTTAAAATACTTTACCGCTTGTAAATTGTATTGAAATTATTTTTTCGGTGTGGAAAATAAAATAAAATAAACCAATAAATCAGTGGCGCTACAACTTTTTTGGTCTTGGCCTCAGATTTCTGTATCTGTTTCATGATCATTTGTTAATCTAATCGGCAAGTAGGTGATCAGCCTCCTGTGCCTGACACATGCCGTAGACTTTTTGGGGGCTAAGGCAAACCGGTTTCCTCACGATGTTTTCCTTCACCGCTCGAGCGAATGTTAAATACGCATATAGAAAGAAAGTGAAGAAAAGTCAGGGATGAGAGTCGCACGCTGAAGCCACTTGTCCAACACGGCTAGAAGGCTACGGTGTAGAAGATACAGAAGATTAATCCCATGCTACTTGTGACATTGGGTATGATAATTTTGTTTATCTTCAGGCTTGAACAACAAAATAATCATTTCAAAGACTTAGATGCGTCATCCAGGAAGGTAATTCGTAAAAAGACGTAAGCCTAATTAGCCTAAACTTCTTCAGTCACGCTCGTCATTTCTGAAAGTCGTGTTAGTGGCACTCTTCCGTCTTAGGCAAGCCTTTGCCCATGGGTGATGGTAAGACCTGCAAGGGCCTTTACATGATCGTTCCTCGAGGTCTTGTTCCCTCCACTCTGTCTGTCACAATAAGTTTTTGAAGTGAAAGTTCCTTAGGCGCATGAGGGTAAAAATTTTACGGAACGTCATGAAGATGTGCAGCGTTTTTTTATAAAGAAAAGGGAGAGAGCGATTGAGACCGACTGAGAGAAAGAGTGAGAAGGGTAAATTACCATACAGAAATTCTATTTTTAAAATTAAAATTTCGTAAAGAGAATTTATGAAATATTAGCATTTTATATTTTATGAAACACAATTTATTGAAATCTCTAATAACGAATTGTAAATTAAAATTCCACGTGTTTATATTACAATTAAATTCATTAAATTCCTAAAATTTCTTCCCTTTTACCTCCCTCTAAGTCTCGGAAATCTAAAGTTTTAGATTTGTATAGATATGAACAAGACTTAAAAATTTGTTTGCCAAAGAAGTTTCACTTCTGACATCTGTAGGTACTTTGTACGCACGCACTTTTTTGTTAATCTGGACCTCTGCGTGTTACATGTCCAAACATCTCAGGATCCGTGGGTAACAAATCGATAGACTACTTTATACCTGTAACTCTCTTAGTGTGTATCATAGTATTAAGTAAATTGGAAGCGCTATCATCTAATTCGGCATATTTCCCTTTAATAGCTTTAAACCGTTGTCTTAGTTTTTATTGACGTTGGTTTAAACGATACCGTATCATTGATAAGTTATTAGTATTGATAATACTGTACTTCAGTTCTTGTTATATTTTTTTAAAATCCGTATACATTAATACAGCCATAAATAATAGTTATCGAAAGCTTTGGTCGATACTGTATTTAAATTTAAAAAAAATTGTAAGTCCACCCTAATTAAGCCAGTAGCTTTAGCTTCCTTTTAGTAGCTCAGAAGTTTCCTGGGCATATCTGGGTCCTGGAGCGACCTCACTGCTCCGAGGATTTTATATTCGTTTGTTTAACGGATATAAGCACAGCTTTGGGACGTGTTTTTTATTAGCCACTGTATGATGAGTTATCAGGTAATTAATCCAATAAATTCATGTTTACATTCGTTCAATATTCAGTAAATATGTTGTACGTGCTTCAACCAAAAACAATTTCACTCTTGTCCTACTATGTCTCCCGTATGTCAAAGTTCATAAGTTTTTGGCATAGTCATACTCAGCACTAAGTCTTGACTCTCAGGGATTTGTGGAACCAGCTGCCCACTGAAGTATTTCCGAACAAATCCGACATAGGGTCCTTCAGGAAAAGAGCGTACCAATTCGTAAAAGGCCGGCAACACACTCGCGAGCCATCTGGCATTGAGTGTCCATGGGCGGCGGTATCACTTAACATCAGGTGAGTTTCCTGCCCGTTTGCCCCCTGTTCTATAAAAAATGGTAATTATGACCCTAGGTGATGATTCTGGGTTCAATTACAAATAAAATTTGCCTAATTGGGAATAAAACTACAAAAAAAATGATAATTATTGATACGGGTTTAATATAATTCCATAGAATACCACAATAACAATTTATTCGCATCGTTTGATACACATCTAAACTTTTTATTATAATATAATATTATTACCTTAGACTATCGATTTAAAAAGTAAGATTAAAGATTGAACATCTATCATTAAAATTAAATGAATTAACATAATATGAAATCATAATCTTTTTTCTCAGTTTTGCCACGACATAACACAACTGGTTTGTCTTTCACACGTCAGATGGCGCTCTTTAGACGTTGGAACATTTCTTTATATGCCTTATCCGTTGCCTTATTTGATAAGATTTAGTATCAATACGTTCACAGATAACCTCGATTTTTATCCTTAAACGAGAAAAGTGACCTGAATTCTCTTTATTACATTTATTTCTTACAACTTGTTTACGGTTAAATTTAATACAATTTGTTCTGGCTTCGCTCGTGGTTGGTGGATTATTAACAAATCACTCCGAAGACAATTTTTTTTTATTTTACAGGAGGCAAACGGGCAGACGGCTCACCTGATCATAAGTGATACCCTTGCCCATGGACACTCACATTGCCAGAAGCCTCGTAAGTGAATTGCTGGCATTTTAAGAATTGGTTCGGAAATACGTCGGTGGGCAGCTGGTTCCACATAGTGGTGGTGCGTGGCAGAAATTGCCTTAAGAAACGCTCAGTTGTGGATCGACGGACGTCAAGATGATACGGATGGTATTTTGTATTCTGCATTGACGTCCGATGATGAAACTCAGCTGCAGGTATTAGTCCGAACAACTCCTCTGAACACTCTCCATGGTAAATGCGATATTATAAGGAAATAATATGAACTAAACTTATTTCTGCTATGGTCGTGCTTCTGAGGTGGTTTAGTATTCAGTCCCAATCGTCACTTTAATGGAAATCTTATTAGATAATTGCGTAATTAAATTCGATAATAAATAAAGGAAGCAAAAAACACAATTTTAATAGTCGAATTGCTGTTAATTGTATTTTTAACATTTATTTTTATATTATACTCGGCCAAGCATTGCTTTGGCTAAGGTTTTTGTTATATTACATAGGAGTAAACTATTCAAGGGAAATGGTAGGAGAACACCGGTCATGGGGACCACCATGCTTTATTGGTGGTTATGCCATTCAATTGTAGCTTATGTGAAACGCTGGTACTTTCAACAGAGCGCCATCTGTTAGAATTGTTACTGTCAAATAATTTGCAATAAAATAATATTTCGGGTATAAATTAACATGTAAGCTATCTTATCTTTTAAGTTAGATCAAACTGCACATGGTGTGAAAATTTGATTGAAATCGGTTAAGTACTTTAGGAGTCCATAGCGGACAAACAACGTGACGCGTAATTTATATATATTAAGATATCTCAGTTTAATTTTTAATTGCGTAAAGAATGACGTATTGATGTACATAAATATTTTGTGTCATTTCTGACCTAGGCCGATTATTAGATATACTCGTATACTAATTTCGTAACATTAAGTCGGAACTTAAAGCTTTGCAGAGAACACATACAAACTTATATATACACACACGTTATATTTTTATGTTATATGATCCACTACAAATTGAAGAATAACTACGATTTCTCATTGTCATTATAAAGGCTCTTCTCACTTTTAGAAGATTTCTACTTTCACAAAAAATTCCAATAATTTTTGTTGAAAGTCAATTTAAGTGTAATATTATTATCTTAATGTAGATATATGTTTGCACAAGATTCCTTCATATTACTCAAGGATATAACATTTACTTTAAATACATTTAAATACAACAAATACAACAATCTATGAACGATTTCTTAAACAACAAACCTAATTCTCGGTATTTATTTTCTTTTAAGTATAATATTTAAAAATTCCTTTTAAGTATAATATTTAAAAATTCCTTTTAAGTATAATATTTAAAAATTCCTTTTAAGTATAATATTTAAAAATTCCTTTCGCTTCGTGAACAAATAGTACCGGCGTAACCACATACACCATTGCACACACAGACTATTTACACAGTATATCCCTATTCACACAGACACACAATCATAAAACGTGTTTGTGTGCCGTCTGG